ACCAGGTGCAGTAACAATGAAGATTTCAAAGTAAATCCACAAAAGAAGGTGACTGTGGACACAGAATACATCTATAGCACACCCTGTGCCTATGGGTGAAAGGATCCTGAAACTCCTTGCTGCTGTTTGATAGGTAACACAGTACACGGGTGCAGGCTGCCCTTACTTGTATTTATTTTTAAAGTCATGAGAGATACAGAAGGCAATAGAAAGAGATAATGGTATAAGAGAAGAAGACACACAGTTAGAAAGATGATCAATAAGCAATATGTTGTGTATGTATAGTTACAACAACAATTTGTGGATTCTCCAAATGGAAAATAAATTGTATATCTACAATTTATATTGTACAGGTTGTATATCTACAATTTACAACCTACATGTGTGTGCGTATATGTGTGTATAGAGAGAGCGAACTGAGGGATGGCAGATTCATTAAATGTGCTTTAAATGGATCCTTATCTATGAAAGGCTGAAACGTTGAAACCCTTCCTTGAAAGTATGAAAAATGGTTACGAAATGAAAAACTCTCATACTCCTCTTACCAACACAGGAGAGCTACCTTCCAGAAACAAAGGTTTATTCAACATGACTTCCTAATGTGCCAATGTAAGCAATTTAACAGAATATGGAGGTCTTTGGATCAGAGTGGCTCTGTCCAGGCAGGCAGGCCCCATCCTGCATTGTGTCTTTCTGGACACCCGGAGAATCAGCACAACCACAACTGGACAGAAGATGCAGCTGACAAAGAAGGAAGGAACAAAGATCTCCAGGCCAGACAAGCGGTGAAAGGCGGAACTGATTTTTAACAGAAAAAAAAAAAGGCTGATCATGGATGGGAAATCTCCTGTCCTAGTGAAGATCATCTTTATTATGCCCCTTCAGATTTCCCATTTCCAGAGCCTGTGTGTAAGCAGTCATCACCATCTCTCCCAGTTTTGAACAGACATACTTCCCACTAGTGTGCTAAGCCTTCAGGTGCTTCAAAACAACTGCAGGGAAGGCAGTGTATAAATACTCACTGTGAGCCCCAAAGAAAGGAAGTAAAAAGGGAGATGTTACCCATTAAGAACCTGAAACTATTTTACAGGGTGATGCTTGCTGGTCAACTGTCAGAAAATACTGTTTGTACAACTCCATTATCGTCAGAAGCACAAATAGCCATAACCTATGAACAGGATGGACTTCCACAAAAACAAATCCATTTTGGCAGTGGTTCTGGCCTTTTATGAAGAGCAGGTACTTTCTGCAAGATATTCAGATCTCACTATGTGAGCAAGTGTCTTGAAGATCAAGAGACATGAACTGGTCCTCCTGTTGAAGTGAGGGTATTATCACTGCTAATGTTACCATCCTAATATTATATTAGTGATAACGATGTTCAACTTCCTAGAGTCAAGGGGACGTCTCTATCCTCCACACCTGCTATATTATGACTGGTCCTGTGAAATCTGGAACCAGGATGAAAGATTTTGAGTGATACACCAAAATGAAAGGCTAAATGAAAGACTAAATAATCAGGAAAGGGCTCTTGAAAAGACTTGTTGAGGGAGGGTTGAGGAATAGGTTACGCACAGTGGCTGCAATAAGAACGGTGTTCAACACCATGCTGTGTAGAAAGGCAAAGGTTCAGTCAACCATCAACAGCCTGAATCCAGAGAACAGCAAATAAAAGAAAGATTTAGAAGAAAGGACTCATCTCTCTCGCATTGTGATGCCTTTGAATGTATGGCAGCGACAACTTTGAGCTGCAAATAAAGGAATGCGTGCAGAGATGCATTTTGGGGAATAACGCTTCAAAATAATCAGAGACATGGAGCAAAGTTGTAAATGGGGGAACCAGTATTGATTGGCTTCTTTTAAGATATTACTGTGAAGCATCCTGGTTCTGTCAGCATGGGCCTTGAGCCTTAAAAGACTGAAGTTCTTCTCTAGTGTTAGCTCAGAGACTCATACTCTGTGTGATAGGATATCTTCAGGGCCAGCTTCAATCCAAGCTATGTGGTCAAAATGGTCTTCTTTGGAATGAACACAACAACATTATCATAATCCTGATCCTTCTGAAACTTGAAAGAAAAATTTAAGTGCCCAAAAGATTGTATATAATTTCCAAAGTGTGAAATCCATCTAGTATCAGATATTAGATTTGGAATGGCAAAACCTTGTAACATGCTATTCTTATATAAAGGCTTGCACCACCCTACTCCCTCAAAAAAAAAAAAAAAAAAAAAGCAAATTTTCATTTTTTCCTCTCTACAACCAAATGTTTAAATTCTTTGCCAAAGGGGGAAAAAAAAAAAAAAGAAAAAGAAGCAGAGTGAGACTGTTTAAAATGTGCCAGAAGCAGAGCAGCAAAAAGGGGAGTCAGTGGAGGCTGAGCAGAAAGGAAAATCCAAACCACCTGCTAGTACTTGGTAGCATCTGTTATTACGCTGAGAAACGGGAGCTCACGAAGGCACTGCTTGCCAGAGCACTTGAGCTGGGATCAGTACGGCATCATTCAGTGGCCTGGCTGCATGAGCTAGCGTAGGCTCTACAGAATATTAATTAAGCTCAGAACAAACATTTGGGAAACCTTCATAAACATTTGTAGAGTTCTTTATAGAGATCTGTAGAGCAGACATTGTCCTCGGCAGTAATTCTGAAGCAGGGGACATGGCATTCTCCTGACGTGACATCTTCCTCGGGGAGGGTGGCAGAGACACCAGCACCTTCCAGGCAACACGTTGGCTCTGAATGGAAACCCACTGTAAAACAAGGACCATCTGATGCTTCAGAGCAACAAGCCCACTTACTAAGGAATGACACTGTGAAGACCTGATCATCCAAGGCCTGGTGCCTTTGCAGTAATTCCTTACATTTCTAAGGCCAGAGAATTTAAAGACAAAAAAAATCCTCCTTCTTAGAGCAGAAGGATGGGTATTGAGCAAGGGGCAATAATCCTGTAACCTAAATGTGTTCTTGAGGCTACTGAAAAGCCCATGTGTCTCAACTTTTGGTCTTCAAGAGTAGGAATTTAAGGCTAATTCATCCCTATCAGAGAGGGACAAATATGCAGTGGTTTGGTGCCCATACAGATGTGGAATGCAGCAGGAGTAACTGCTTCCTACAACCTCTGTAAAAGCAATAGACAAAAGATGTAAAATTTAAGCTATCAACTCTAGAGAAGCTCCAGCCCCTGCAGAGGAGTGGGTTGGTGCAGGCTCTGGAATATCACAAGGTAATCATGAAACACGATGAGGTCCCAGCTACTTGGAGAGACCTTGACAGGCTGGAAGAATGGGCAGAGAGGAAGCTCAAGAAGCTCAACAAGGGAAGCGCAAAGTCCTGCACCTGGGCAGGAATAACCCCAAGACGCAGCACAGTCTGACAGATGAGCCATGGAGAGCAGCTTTGCAGAGAGGCAGCTGGGGAGGCTGGGGCGAGTCAAACACGGGTTTGTTGAGCAGTGTTGAGCAGTGCACCCTGAGGCAAAGGGGGCCACAGGCATCGCGGCTGCGCTAGGCAGAGTGTTGCCAGCAGGACAAGGGAGGTCACCCTTCTTCTCTGCTCAGCCCGGATGGGGCCACATCTGGAGAACTGCAACTAGTTCTGGGCTCCCCAGTATATGGAAGATGTGAATTTACTGGAATAAGTCCAGCAAAGGACCAGAAAGATGATTAATACACTGCAGTATTTATCAGATGAGCAGAAGCTAAGAGAGCTGGGGCTGCTTAAGCTGAAGGAAAAAGAAAAGGCTCAGGGGTATCTTATCTGTGGTTATAAACCTCTAAAGGGAGGATGCAAAAAGGACAGGGCCAGACTTATCTCGGTAGTACTCCGTGACAGGATGAGACAGAAGGGCCACAAACTGAAACATGGAAGTCCCATCTGAATACAAGGAAACACTTGTTCACTGTGAGGATAGTTGAACAATGGAACAGGTTGACTATAAAAGTTGTGGAGTCTCTAGTCCTTGGAGGTATCAAAATCCAACTGGCCATGGTCCTGTGCAACATGCTCCAGCTGACCATGCTTGAGCAGGGGGCTTGGACCAGAAGAACTCCAGACATCTATTCCAACCCCAACTATTCCGCAATAATAAAAGCACCACGGAAAAGCTCAGGACTTTGTGATCACTTTGTGATTGTGTGCACCTACTTAAATTTCTGAACAGCTAAAGCAAAAACTCCTCCCTTGCCACAAGAACAGGGAGTGCAACCAGAAAAAGCACACACATCTCTGTATCCTCTTTGTATATGAGGAATCAAAGTAGCAGACCAAAAATAAGCAAGTTTTTTATTTCTTGATTATGAGTAGATCAGAAATGAACCCTGGATTTTTTCTCCCCCGGATGAAGCCTCTTGAATCTGAGGCTCAGGAAAGGGGTCAAAGAGGAAGATTTTTTAGCACTTTCTTGAGAATAATTTTCTCAATTAGTATTTTAAGCCCTAATACATGGAACACTTAGATGAAATGAAAACTTATCTTAAAGCTTACAGATTATCAAAGTAAAATATAAAGAAAAACAGAAAGTCCAGAGGAATCCTGAGCAAAGACCAGTTAATCTTAAAGCAGGGCTGGCTCACACACATGTTGAACTCCAGATGAAGACTGCCTTCCACTGCACCTCAGAAGACTTCCCAGCTACACACTCGCAGTATCATACACACCAGCACTGGGAGGGAAACATGCATGACAATATGTGGATGCTAAAGTCGGTCGTTCATTCATTCATCTCCACTTTACTTTTAAATTTCTTCAAAACTTAATCCCCTCACCGATCACATCAAATTCATACTGCAGAGAAATGAACAGAAAGACTAAGGGACAATTACTTTTTTTTTCTGTATGTTTACATAGGCACACAGGAGTAGATTTAGGATATACATATTATGCTACACACAAATGTACATGTATATGCATGCATATGTATATATTAAAAAGACCACAGTTTGGTGAATATATCCAGATAAGTTGCCTCTTTATTACTGCAATTTGCAAAAATTGTATTCTCCTACCTTTGCATAGGCAGTGGTTTTGATAAACCACTGCTTGAGGTACTTCTGTTCCACCTTTGCTCCTGAGCGCCACGAGCAGCCCTTGTCATCCACCTGCTCGTTAGCTAGAACCGTCTGATCCACCGGGTCCCAGTTAACCAGCGCCTAAAAATGTTGCAAGGAGAAAAAATATTTTCAACAGCTCTTTCAAAACTAAATCTTGCTCTTCAGCACTACAAGGACTATTCCTTGAGCACCCCAAGTTTTCTGTGTTTTGTTTACATCAGCAACATGGAGTCGGTTACAGATGTTTTGAACGTCCTTCTCACAACTCAGACACCTCAAAATGCTGATTTATCTGACAGCATTTATCCAGATTATCACACTAGCAGGACACACTAACACTTTCATATTGAGTGAGAAGTGAAAACATCTCTGAACATTGTTCACAGTAATTGTACTGCATAACTACAAGGTGTGGTAATTTGCAATTGTCCACCACTGATGCAAAAGTGTTTAGTGTCATTAAATGGAATGTATAACTGAGGAGCTCCAACTCCGACAGACGGAATCACATACTAAATAATTATATTTGACTGTCTTCCAAGTGAAAAAGTTAGCATTTTCTGCATAGTGCTCAAACGATTCTGCAAATTACTTTTGGAATCATGCTCCCTATCAATTATCAATATACCTAAAAAAAGGTAGTCAAATAGATGATGTTGTTCAACTTCACAAGCTATATTTGATGAGGAACTGAAATACAGACATATCATCCTGGGTGGAGATGAAAGCCAAACCCACCTTCACCCAATCCTGAAAAATTTAGCTCATTGTTTATCATAAAGGGTGTTAAACCCCAAAAGAAGGTAGTGAAAGAAGGTAGTGAGAAAAACAGTGAAAAAGTCACTCCATTCATCAGTGACAGATGTTAACTTGAAAAAAAAACCAACATAAATTAAAAAAAGAAAGAAAGAAAGAAAAAATATCAAAGCAACAAAAATGATCACTTGAATTGTAATGAATTGGCTACGAGAAAGAACGAGAAGAAATAATCACTTTATTTTTTTCATGGTATTGGGACAAATTTATGAAGAAAAAATTGGAAAGTGAATGATTTTATATGACAATGATTACTTAGCATTACATGTCCATATAAATTACATCAGGAAATGTATCTAAGTGATGCAAAATGTAAATACACAGGTAAGAAATCCATAGCTGAAAGGTCATGTTAGTGGATTTTTAAAGCCCTATTTTGTCCCTTCCATCTCCCACAGATTTTGACTAATATCCAGAACCTAGACGTGCAATTCAAACCTCAGCTCCTCCTTGCACCTCATGGGCAACCTCTTGCCAGTGACAACCTCCAGACCTGTGACCCCCAAAGCCATTTTCACCTACACAGAGCAAGCACAGTGCAACACTGCCTACAGCACACGGGTTATTTATATTTGCTCCCCAGGCCAGTGAAGGCTTCATGCTATAAAATGGGATTCGTCTTACGTAGCTTAAGGCGTCTATAGCCTAAGTACCTATCCCCAAGGTAGGTGACTATGCTTTTATCTTTTTGTTTGCTTTACAGACAGCAACTTATCTCAGCCTAAATGAGCCAGTGACACGTGGCCAGATCCATCACCTGTGCAGTGTACGGACTCGTTCTGTACTGCAAAGCAGAGAGGGTTTTGCTGCAGCGAGCAGAGAGGCACTATCTACAGCAGCTGTGCTTGACTAGCTCCAGCTCCCAGGCACACTGATTCTGTGTCTCCCTAACAGGGTAATTTCTAGCCAGACAGGCACATTCTTAGAACAAGACATGAATTACACTCATGCTCTACATGCATCATCCTTATTGCCACAGGAAGGCTATAAATTATCTTCTTGTACCTGGAAGGAAATTCTAATATAGACACTTCAGGCTGTGCAGCAGGACTGCTTAATGTATACTGCTGATAGATATGCTGAAGACTTGGGATAAATACATGTTTTAAGCAGCTGTGTCAATTTGAAGAGACCCAGGCTTACATGCTGTCTCTCTGCCATCTGTTTCTTGCCAAGGAGCAGCTAGTTAATATCCACCAGTCGTGACATCCCCTGCAGGTTGGCATATGCTGATTTAAGTCCTCAGATTGATCCCTGACTCTTAGAGGGAAGCAAATCCAATCGTTAACACCCAGGCACATTCAGGCTGGGTGGCTGCTTGCAAAAATATGTATATATACCATCAGTGCCTCTGAAACAGCAAACCTCATGCTTTTGAGATTCACTTGGAATTAACCTTATAACAAACAAATTGACACATGAAAAGAAGTCTGCTACGGCAAAACTAAGGGCTAAATTCTTCACCGTAATTTGAAAACACAATTACAAAAAAAAAACCCAAAACCCTAGCGTGTTAGGGTGTATCAAATACCAAGTTATTTTGGTAGCTGTCATTTAGAATCTATTAATATACGGAAGTAGTAGAGGCAGTTTAGTAACACTGTGCTTTCCAAATGCTATGTTTCAGCATCAACATCTTTCTCTGGATTCTACATTCCTAATGAAATTCTATTGTTTTTCCTGTGAGATAGCATGAAACTGAAAAGCGTATTTAAGAAATCTTAGTTTCCATTTTAAGTTAGGGACATATATTAAATTGCAGCTTTGTTTATATGCAGCTGTTCAGGTATGTGGGACTGAATTGCCTTTGCTATGCGAAGAGTTTTGTGGAATGTTAACACATTTGCTCTTCCTCCCACTTAAGAAGTTAACTGAACTCTTACCTTTTCAGAAAACATGGTATATATTACCTAAAAAATACTGTAAGTTGGAGAGTTTCTTAGTGTACAGCTAAAGAAACAACTGTGATAATCTTACAGCATCCAATATTTCTATAATATTTTAGAGACCACAAATGGGTTCCAGGAATTCCATGGTTAGGGACATAATCTCCACTCCTCATCCTAATGGTTTTCACTCAGTCATAGTACTGATATATAGTAAACTAATCTCCTTGCTGAAGAGATTTATCATGATCATGTTAGAATCAACAGAACTCTTTCATGCGTTCACTGGAGGGAAGTTAAGAGATAGAAGATTTTGATACAAAAGCCATGAAATAATCTAATAGTAGCTATGTTCTTATCCAGCACATCAGTGTAAACAAAAGACAACAAATAATTGTGATATGACTTGTTATATTATGTCATTGATGTTAGACAGTTACATACAAAACTTAGTTTTAGAAAAAATTCAATATACTTTGCAGTAATTTAAAACCAAGCATAGCAGCAAAAATAGCTATCCTCCTAAGGAATGTGAATAGATGATTCAGAAATATGTTACTCACACAAGGAGTGACTTGAGATCAAGTCAGTGTATGCGCACAGTGCTGCAGGTCAAAGTTTGCACCTACCTCCTTTTGGTAAGCTAACCCAGCTTCAAAAAGCTTCAGAAAGAGGTATTGTGTCCATTTATAGTACTCTGGCAAGCAAGTGGTTACTTCCTAGAGAAACGAAATGAAATAAAAACGCATGAAACTATTCTTACTATCTTACAACTTAAATAACCAATCCAGGAGTGCACAGAATATGCTAGAGACAAAACCAGCAGCATGACATAAATGTGACTTTGAGTAATGTTATTTTGAGTGATATTCACATGTACACAAAAACAGAGGACTCTGGCTTTGTGCATGACATGCCAAGCAAAGTTTCCATTTTAACACAGAATAAAATCCCCCTGCAGTAACAATGCTGCTAGATACAAGAGTATAAGAAGAATGTGAGTGACCACAGCTCTTGCTCAGGAATAAAAATGCAGAAACAGAGGTCATCAACTCCTCAGAGCTGGCTGCAGAGGGAGCAGACTAAAGGAACCTGCAGCTGAACCTGTGGGTACAGAAAAACAAGGGAAGAGTTTGGAAAACCAAGGGTGTTTACCGGCAGTATGGGGAAGGCCAGAGAGGAATATGGGGTAAGAGTGTAACCTTCAGGATAAAAGAGTTGCAAAGGACACCTCACAAGGAGAGGTCCCACAAGTGCCTGTTGGAAAGGCAGGAGAAGGTGCCAGGTCAAAACAAGGAGAAAACGCTGATGAGTCGCCAGAGAAGTCGCAAGGGTGGAGGACTGTTGACCAATAAAAATGAAGAGACAACATAAAAAAGAGGAACGGGAGTGAGAACAGATTTTCACTGAATTCTGCTAACTAAAGAGATTTTTACTGAATTCTACTAATTAAAAAGCAGCCACCTTAATATGAACTCTGAAAGTTTCCTCATTTAGGATTGGTCCATGTTCAAAGAAATACACTTTAGAAGTTGCAGAAACACTATAATGTCCTTCTGGAAATATATTGTGTGCAATGGGCAAACCTGACCCCAGTTTATGTCCCATAAACAAAACTAATGGGAGTTATTATTCAGTCTCCTGATGCAGGATGATACTGTAAAGTGAAAATAATAATATGGTCAATTGGTTATAAAGTTACCTATCTTAAAGTATTTGTTCTTTAAAGAGAGATCTCCAAAGCTTACATTTTAAATAAACATTATATATATAAATATATATAAAATATGGTTACAGACTCTGAGTTTTCCTCTGCACAACTGTGGTGTTTTCCAGGCGCAGTGGATGCACGTACCCTTCCAGCCATGCATTTTAAAGCCTGGCAAAATGAAAACAACCATGTAACTCAGCATTTAAACTTTGATTGCATTATGTGTAACAACAAATGAATCACATTCGCTTGTCAGTAGCTTTCCTATTTAACTTGCCCTTGTTTCAAGAAGACACTTTTCTACATATTTCCTCTTTAACTACATTTGTGCTGGCTGAAGTGTATGACTGGACCTTAAATCGCCAAGAATACATCTTGATTTCAGAATTACAGGGTTGACAGTCAGGAACTGACAGCTATTTGCAAACTGAATAAATTTGATCAACTCCCTGAAATAGCTTCCGAGTGTGAAATGCCTTTTTCACCCAGGCTTTCCTATCATCTGAGCTTTCCACTACTGCACTGACATCCGCAGCATCATCTGCTACTCAAAGACTCTTGAAATACTTTAGCACAAAAATTTTACTTGTTTTTTTCTACAACTTTATATTTTAGCGCTGAAAAGCTGCTTTGAACAATTAATACAACCTTTGAATAGATGTGCCTCAGAAGTGATTATAAGAGGCTTTCAAGACCAGAGACACTTAACAGCAAGTTTTCAGCACAGCATGCAAAGATCTAGCCCTGAAAAGCAGTTCCTTGATTAAATCCCTGTGCTCTGCACTGAAGAGAACACTTCATAAAAGTCTGATTTCCATCTCTCCAATGAAACATTATCCACTTACTCTAAAAAAACCCATGTTTTGCCTGCATTTCCACACAGTGACATCAGTTCCTCTGCCAGCGTGATGCCACTAACGGCAACGGGGCTTCATCACTTCCCTCATGTCAGAGGTGCAGAAGAGCAGAGGCCTCTTGGGGCACAATGTAGGACCAGGTGAGCAACAGGCAAACAGGTAACGCAACAGAGAGGAGCTGTCAGGCAAGAAGAGTCAAACAGACCGAGATTTGTCCATGGGGTCTAGATTGGCAAACGTGTGTTCGCTGAAACACTGTGGATGGCATTTGAGAGTGTGAAACACGTAGGTCTAGGGCATGCTGCAAACTAATAACTGGGAACAAGACCACAAGTATGTGCTCGCTCGAGCTGCAGATTGACAACCTTCCCAGCAAGAAATGCAGCAGAAGATATCACTGAAGAAAATCTGCTCATCCGCCGCTGAACCGCAAGACAAGAGCACTCAAGCTCATCGTTTATTTAACTTTATAACCACGAAGGCTTCCAGTTATGTGCAATGGTTAAAAGAGAAAGAAATGACACCACCATCAAGTGTAACGAGAAATACGGCGATTTCTGAAGATGACAAGCAACGATCTCTTGTCAATCAAAAACTACTATTTTTTTAAATCTAGTTCTGATCACTATTTGATAAATAATACTTGGTAACAAATTTCCATTAGGTTGCCATCGTTTAAGTGAATGCTGGACTGCCCGTGCGCTCCGTGAGCATTGCAGAGATTTGCAGCACGTTACCAGAACCGCCTCGACTCAGAAACGTGAAGAAGTTTTGCTAAACGGCCTGAAGAAATCCTGCCTGCCGTCCCGTCCCAAGCCCCCCGGCGTCCTTCAGGGCACGAGCACCCGCAGGGCAGAGCAGCCCGGGGAACACGCAGCCAGGATTTTAGCCTATTTCCTTCTAAGATAGGAACCCTTTTTCACAAGTGCGAAGTACGCTGCCCACCTGTGCGCTGTGGTGCTCCTTGGTGATCTGTGACAGACCTTGCAAGACACCGTCACCACAGCGCTGCAGAGGAACTAACAGACAGGAATGAAATAATTCCCCCTCCTTCCCATCACTTTGCCCTTTTCTTTTTGTCAGCTTGCTAATTAAAAAAAAACCCCAAAACCTACTACTGTCACCAAAATGCCTCTTCATCGTTGATTACTGTTGTTCTTCCTTACTCCTACACGAATGACATTATCAAAACAAAMCACTTTTCAAAAAGCGGACTACTTTTCCAAGCAGTAGATATTGCCAAGATATAGAAGAGAAAGTCCCTTATTCGTCTCAAAGATCTTGCTGGAGCCCTCTGCCTCGGCGCAGCGTCTGCTCCTGCTCAGCGTGGCGCAGGGGTTAGTGCTGCAGGGCAATTCATTGCTCCAGGGCTGATTAAATAGGCTTTTTTTTTTGCAGAGACGCTCTGAGTTACAAATTAATTAGCAGTATTACAACTTAGACTTCAGAGTGAGGTAACCTGGGAAGCACCTGGTAAGATTAAACTGTATCTTAGTATGATAAATGTGGGAAAAAAAAAAAAAACAAGTTTCAGATACAAAAAAGAAGGGGAAGCCCAACCTAAATCCTGCACATAGAGCTCCAAACGAAATTCTAGATGAAAGACTCTGTTCATAAATGAAAGATAWTTTTCAGCATCTTATTTTATAATTAATTATTCAAACTCTCCATCTACTATCTTCTACTACTATTATGTGCTCTATTCACAYGTACTACTAGTCTATGCACTACCTACAACCTTCTACTGCTTACTGTGAATCTCCAAGTATTTAAGCTGAGGGTTGTATCTTCAAGCTACTTCCACTGTTATCACTTTAATATAAATAATATTCCCAGCCAGCATAAAGGCTTCTACCTGCTGCACGATCCACTACGTTCTGTGAATACTACATAACTAGAGAAAAGGCATTTCTTAGTTTATTAGTACTTGTTTTATTTCTAGSACAGTCCTGTACTATACTGAGCACAGTCACGCTGCACTTGGAACTGAAAAGGTAAGAAGGTGAAAGGATAGTCTGAGGGGATTTTTTCCAAAATTATTTGGGAAGATTAAACATATTCGACTATTTTGGTAGCCTCTGCCTCTGTGATGATGATAAGAACCTATGAAAAGGATTATATTGTCCGAGTCCCCTGAAAATCATGTTTAAAAGAAGTGGCAGGCAGTTTGCTCTGCTGTCTGGGGTGGTACTTAGGAGAAATTGCATCACCAGGAATCCTCAAACTACTGCCTATTACCTTAAAAATAAAACATAATAATATTTTTTTTTGTTTTTCAAGGAATTTTAATGTCTATCAGAAACTTTTTGTCCAGCCTCTTGCTGCAGCCTTTTAACCCTAGATCTGATACAGAAATGTTCGCTTGCATTTACAGAACAGAAATATCCTACCTCTTGCCTAGTATTCTTTTTTTTTTTTTTCAAATCCTCTTCTTTTTCCCTATATCATGCCCCTTTCAAAGTCAAATAGTGAACTCAATATTCACTATTCAAGACACTGAAAACTTTTCCTAGATACCTAGGAAAAAAAGGAGATTCCTATTGGTATTCAAACCTACTCTAAAGCAAACTTAAGAGAGCTAGTTTATTCATGTAATTACATTTTTAGTTTGCTTACATTTTATGTTTAGAGGAAGAATTTTCAAGCATTTTGGTAAGCCAGTTTTCTGAAATAATCTCATTATCTTTTAATAATGCCTCATTTTTTCTGCTTTAGTGGTTAAGTAATTTCACCAACTAAAACACAGAAATCAAAATATTTTTGAGATTGTGAAGAAGAATGATAAAAACATTGATCATTAAAAGGAAACTTCTAGTATCCCAACGCAACAGAATTTCTTCATGGTAACTATGCCGAGCAGAACCCCTGTGAGTAGCCTTCTTATTCCTCAACAAGACTTGCTTGAACACCAGAAGGCTTCTCAATGGGCAGCTCCCTCAGCACAGCTCTATACACAAGGCATTCCAAGTGCCCTTCTCTTTGTTCTCCTTCTGGGCTTTTTTTCTGCCTAATGTTTGTGAAATGCTAAAAGATACTGCAGTTTTCCTCCCATCACCTAGGTACATAGTCTTAGCTGAACACGTGGGATTCCCTGAGATTTAACATAAAACACTAGCACTTTTGAAAGGTGCTTCACCTCGCATGGAAATAGAAATCTAAGGCAGAAGCGTGGATTCTTCCAGCATGTATTTGCAAGGTATTGTGCCCTGAGAAGAATGAAGCAGCAGCTTAGGCAATACCAACGCAATCCAATTAAAAATAAACTCCTATTTTGTACAACATTCTTATCTAYACTATCTACACTAACCCACAACAGAAAGCCTTTTTCTATCATTTTTCATAGGAGMCACTGCAGTGCTGCTGGGGTTAACACTTGCTGTTGGAGTTAATGTTTGCATTATCACAGCATTCAATAAGCCACTAATTTAGGGYTGTACAAGTACGGAATAATAAAAAATAACTAAAAAGAACCCCCCTTCACCTCAAGAGCTCCCCTTTTTTAACAAAAACCCCTGCACAGTACAGTGCAGCACTGCACGGAGATGCTGAGCTGCCCAGGAGCAGCAGGGCAGAGCCAGGGAGAAGCTCTGCCCAGCCCAGAAGCTCCCTTTATCGGCCTGGAAAACCCACTCTGCTCAAACACTTGTATGTTTAGAGGGCAGATAAAACATGTATTTCAGGCATCATGCAATTTTTGCATCAAGCAAACATGTCTCTGTTTCTTAAGGTTGCCATTCAGGTCACCCTCACTTCAGTTAACTACCTCGCAGAGCAGCGACATGAGCTAAATAAAACCAAGCTGCTCAGCCCAGAAGTGACACTCAGCCAAAATGGATTGAGCTTCAAGCAACACTTCCTCGCTGTTTTAGAGCTTACCTTTCAAAAACACAAACTGAGGCACTTTGCACTACAAGTTTCCATTTTTTTTGGATTACAGAACCATTCACTTTACTGCAGAGCATCAACCGCCTTCCCACAAGGACCTGAGGACTTCCCAAAGTTCACCGAGTGAAACAAKCTTTGCTAGGAAAGCCAAGGTAAGCCCCAAAACAACCACAAAGATGACAGATAACATTTCCCTACAAGCTTATAGTTCTCTGCGTGGTTTTCAACACGGCCAGTTCTCTGGGATGCAAATGTTTACACATATAAGAAAACGACTGCAACGCAAGCGTGGAGCAAACCTCCCCCTGCCACCCTTGTGATTTCAGAGCAACTCTTCAGTTATGAAGAGAACTGCAATCTTACTAAAAGTAGGATTACTGAAAGTTTCAGTTTCCTAAAAGTAAGCCCTAACTAGAAGGGCTTACATTGAAAATCTTGTCATATACATGACACATACATGTCATACACATGACATGACATATACATGACACAYGTCATGTACATGACATGACAAAGTACACTTTTTAGATGCAAGACATGCATATAAACAACAGACTAAGGAAAACAGATGGCAGGTCCCATACTGCCAGAAAACGCAYGTTTTATTTTCAGACCTACAATATTGCCGTAAAATTCCATGACAAGGATCCCAATCACTCTATGCAGAATCATATTAAAATGGTAAGTAATGATGATCACTGTGAGTGCAAAGCTAGGGAAGGACTTTGACTCGCCTGTCCATGCAATAACACTWCTGAACAACTGCTTCAAAAATTGATTTCTTTCATTTTTGCCTTCAAAACCACATTGTTTTATGGCTGATTGTATTAGCAAGGTTTTCAAGGTGAACAACCTATTCTCAAGAACTTGAGTTTTAAATAAAATATCTAGTTTCCAAAGTGTTCATGACAAAAACAACTATGAAAATGCAGTCTTGCCTATCAGGTTTAAAATAACATAACCAAACCACCCTTTAAAGTTGCTGGCTTTAAGCTTTTGCATACACTTTAAAATATACACCCTGACAAAAGCACTCCTAAAAACACATACGTTTTAACACAAAGGGATYCTGCTTCATTAACAGCTGCCAATAAGAACACTTGAATTTTAAGAAAGAAGATGCTACTTTGGAAGAGTTGAAGAGACAGAAAAGTCCAAGTGAAAAAAAAAAACTATTTTAAAGAAAGAAAGATCCTAAATGCTGAAATTATCAGATGATGCCCGTAAGTACGCCAAAAATGAGGGAAGAATAATTACACTGCCCATTTTTTAAGTGTATTTTTGTAAATTAACAATTATAATTTGGCCACTTCCAAAGCTTTCTATATTGTCACGCCTAAAAAGATAAAATTTCCTGATTTCCATCAAAAAATAAAAGGAGAGAGTATTCCTTAAGAGAGAAAATCTTACCCTTTCCCATGTAAAAGACAGACCTAGTGCATCAAACTGCTTCCTCATGTGTTGAATGTTACTGTAAGAGAACAAAAAAAATGAGTCACTTAAAAAGATTATCATCATGTGGTCATATTTACAATCAGGTGCCTGTACGCAATAATCAAGAGCACTAGTTAACCTCTAAATCTTACAATCCCACTAACAGTTAAACTCCAAGAACTGTTCCACTATTTATCTTAGACCCATTTTAAAACTCCTTTGTACTCCAGCTTAACTCAATGACTGGATATACAAGATGATGATTATTTTTTCCCTCTTACTTCAGGTATAACTGAAAAGCAAAACTGAAATATAGCAATTCTGGTTGAGCAGAAYGTGCCCTGAAACATCACTTTTCATTATTTTAAACTATTTTTACAGCAAGGGAGCCAAAGGGTGCTAAGGAAACTTCACGGCACTCTGGGATGTACCTACAGGATCAGCTCACGAGTCTGTTCTGGCCACCCTATCCCGGGCCAGTCTCTTCCCTGTTCCCAGCAAGAGCATCTCCCAGAGGAGCCATGTGAGAGGTCTCTCAGCGTGGTGCTCCATGAGACAACTGGAACCAGCGGGGAGCACTGAGTTACCCTTGACTTCTACAGAGCCCCCGGCATCGACTACGGCAGCCGTTCCGTAGTCTGGGCATTTTGGGAGGCAGTTTTCAGGTGCACCAACGATTCCCTGGGTACAATATGCCCCGTTTCCAGTATCCCTGTGACTGCAGAGCTCTGGTTACCTTGTGGTTAAACCCAMAAGGTTTAACAGCAGAGTCTCAGCAATAAAGGTGGCCCAGGAAATCCTGTTAGGGAGTCACAGCTCCCGCTGGGAGCAAGCACACGTTCCGCAGAGCCACTTATGTTCATCCTGCACTCAAACTGCACCAACAGAAGCCTTTCAAGTTTCAGTCTATTTTTACAAGGCTTCTGTCACTACATATATATAAAAAAGCCTTATAAAAATACATACACAAATATATGTATGTGTGTGTGAGTGTGTGTACAGATATAAATGTATCAAACCAAACGCCAACTGTCTTTTTACTATCAAAAATGTCTGTGTTTTGTTTAGGTAACTCTGGCTTCAATGTCTCTCTTTTCTTTTTTCGCTCTCTCTTTCCCTAACCTACCTCTCTGAAGGTAAAAAGTAGCAGTTAGCTGAGGTTCCTTCCAAGTAATCTCTTCAGGAGGYGATGATGACCTGAAATTTGGCTGGTGACCCTGGACTGGGTTAGCTGACAAGTTTACCAAGTGTCCCCGTTCACGGGGGTGGCCAGCTCTGCTCCAGCGTCATGTCACTMCCACAGCATCGAGGCCAGAATACAGAAACATGATATTGGTATAGGTTTATTTTAAATTCTGGGGCTACAATTTATGTCAGCTCCACATACAATCCAGTAATCCCTACTGCGGGCAGGACAAACATTCAAGGGTTAGAAAGGGGGAAAACGAGAGACAGCAATTACTTGAATGGTCAGAACTTAATCTGCCTGTATGATGAGTCATCTATCTTCATAAGCATAATACAAACAATACATAAACAACTTGTCTATTTGCATGTTACTGCAGGCGGCCAGGGCCAGCCCAAGGGCTGGGGCCGAGCGCGCTCCCACCTGCCCTCTGCTGCTCCCTGCGCCGCCGCATCCCGCCCGCCCTGGCTCTTTGTCAGAGGGGCTACACTCAGATGTAACTCCCTGCAAAAAAAATCTGATTTATTTCCTACCCGCTTCGGTGTTTGGAAATGTCTCATAAAAAAATAAAAACAATATATTACTCTCTTAAAAGTTAAAGCCAATCACGTTGACACATGAAGTTTTTGAAACTGAACTAACTGCACGGTCTGAAACATTAGCAAACCACACTAGTTCTTTCTGTCCTGTCTGTCTTCCACTAGTTTTGCCTTATTTCCCTTCATGGGGGCCAGAGCACAGATATTCACAAATGAGGAAAGTGTCATGACTTGACTCCACTAAAGACTACCTCTGTGTCCAGCTTGCAGGGTGCAGTCCATGCTCAACCGCAGCGTTTTCTGCTGGCAACCCAAACGCATCCCATCCCATTGGATTTATCACCTGCGGGCAAAAATTACCAAACATCAGCTTAGGCAACCTGGCACGGTGTCAGGAACAAACACAAGTCTGTATAATTGTACCTGATGTGGAGCCTACTCATTTCTTTTTCCTTTTGTTTAATAAAAAAATTAAAAATCCTTTCTGATCACTGTAAATCCTAAATCCTATAGATAATAGGAAGAGAGTGACAAATTTAAAAAAAAAAAAAATTTAATATGGACTGAAGACCAACACAGCATATTTCAGCACATCAAAACATCAGATAAACAACAGTAGAACAAGTGTTTACTAGACAACACAGCAGGCAAACTTTGTTGAAATAGACGCATATCCTTCCTATCAACATGCACTTTTGGGGGGAAGAAATCACGTATCCAGCAGCACAGAGGCTATGTACAAGAACTATTCAATAACCAAGAAACAAATGGTCAGCACTTAACATGCTGTCAGTAAATATACTTATGAACTGGGTGCCTGATAGAAGCAATGCCATTTCTTAAACCTACAGATTTGCTATGCACGCAGTGATGATGTATAAAGCTACAGAAGTTTAACAATGGCAAAACACGATTGAGCAAAATTTAAAAGGTTGAAGGAAATCAATTTTTTTTCAACTTAAAAATGTATACATTGAGTCTGTAAACAAAGCAGCAATGAGAAAGAAGGCCATAATATTTAGTTGGAGGTCAGAAGTCTAGCAATACTCATCTMACAAGCCATCTCAATCCAAAGAAACGTGTTTATTTCTGAAATGTGAGCTACTTTTGTCATTGTTTGAACTTTTTAAAATCATTTTTGCCACAATTCTCAGATCCTTGGACTTTAATAGCTTCTTTCTTAAAAAAAAAAAAAAGAAAAAAAAAAAGGACATATTTATAAACTTGTCTTTGGCATTAATTCAGTGCAAAAGCAACAAGATTTAACAGATGCGACTCCTCAACACCCTAGTCTTTAACTCCGAGTTGGTTTAACACTGCTGTATTTCATGGTTCTTCCGGAGCAGGAGCATAACCAAAGGCATCAAACCGGGTTGCTGCTCAGCCGTGACTGAAGCCAGCACTGTGGGGGCCCAAGCACAGCACCCTTTTGGATGTGCAAATCTAGCAAAAATAGGAATGCTCTTCCGTCCTACAGGCTTTCCCCATTATCAGCTGGATTAGTATTTTCCYCATCGCAGTGTCAGGAAATACGAGACTCACATTTCAGTTCCTCGCTTCCTCACTTTATACACATCTCATGGAAAAGAAATCTCATTTGCAATGACTTGACAACACCCTATCCCAGCACGCCCCTCCCCAGCCCTTCTTCTCTCGCTTCCCTCACAAACAGTCAAAATTATGGGTATAAAAGAGAGAGAGAGGAAAAAAAAATGGAAGCTTTAAATGAACTAAATTTCTCTATAGAATTTGTTAACGACACAACCAAACTCTTCTCAACTGTTATTTAGYGCAGACCATCTGGCTCTGACAGAAACGATGAAATAAGCCAGATGTTTTTTTGTGGGATACATCCTCTCCCTTCTCCAGTTTCTTTAGGCAGGCAGACACATCCCTACAAAGACCTTCTTTGACTACACGCCGATGCACATTAAGCGGAATTAAAAAAAAAAACCACTCCAAATTTTTTTTTGTTTGTCAATTTTGGCTTTTAAACACCTGCACGCTATAGAGAAGCAAAGCAGGTTCCTGCCTTAAGCTCACGAGSAGGGAAAAGGTGGGATGAGTAACTCATGTCCTGGCCACGGATGCCCATATGGGCAGCGTGCTGCTCCAGCCAGCTCACGTTGGACATTTCAGCACCCGGGTTAGCAGGGGTTTTCTGCTCACACAGATCTTCCCAATTCTGGAGTGCACTTTACAAATATCACACAGGGGATTTACTTAATCAMCACTGAAATGGCAGTTCAATTTGGCCATTGGTGCTATTCCTCAGGCGGAAGGGCTGCAGAAATACACTCCTTCAAGTTACAGCAAGAAACCTGAATTTAAAGAGACATATTAAAAATATCCTCAAATTAATCTCCAGGATAGATGCATTTGTGTAGTTGCCATAGAGATGAATGCAACACGCTCAGCGGATGAGARAAAACGATTTCGAGTTCATTTTCTCTTTTACTTCTCTGCTGCAAATGGATTTGAAAGGGCTGTGAAATGCAGTTGTCTAAACAAGCAGGCAGCTCCTTTGGGCTGCTCTGTATGTTACGTTGCCCACAGTGAAGATGCCACGGCCTCCACGCAGCACTTGGCATTATTTACATCTTAAACCTGCTTAGCCAGTATAAAGCACAAGGCTGAGTGTAGCTGCAAAAAAATGACAAAAATCTTGAGAGATGTGGAAGAGATGAAAATATAAAGCTAACAGCAGAAGAGAGCACAAATAATACAGGAAAAGTTCAAACATCCTGCTTAAAGCAGAGGAAAAAATAGGGAGAGAGCAATTTTGAACACCAAAGGATATCCTCTTGTAGTTCCTCGATGGCTTGGTCATTGGCCATAACTACCATGCAATTTTCTATCACGCAGCACATGGGGTTTTAGGCAGCGATTCACAGCATGTTGGGAACCACGTCCTTGGTAACTGTCACACTGCCAACCTGGTCTTCTCATGCAGAGCAACGGCATCTTGAAACATCTCAGACCATAATGACTGAGGCTCTGTGTTATCTGGGAGCATAACAGTCCTTTCCCAGCGCGTTCAGRGAGCTGTCACTGGTGCGGGTTGGAGCTCCTGACCCGACTGTGGAGGAGGACACGGTCACTTCCAGGATCCATTGCTGACATCTCCCGTGCAGAGGGTGTTCACTGCGCCAACAACCMGCCCCTCGCACTGACAGGACTAGGTGAGCTCCACAAGTGCTGTAAACACAGAGCTGACAACAACCTCACAACACTCGATTCTGTGTCTCCATCAACACGACTGGAAAAACGTGATTCAATGAGGTTTTCTGTTTGAAAGGAAACAACATGTTTGCTCTCCTGATGTGCTCAGCATGCCTCAAATTTTGACCAGAGATCTGACACATCCTTTTTATATCCAGCTCTAAATTTTATGAAAGACAATACACAGAGTGTCAAAGAAATGTTGGTAACTAACTAAATTTATTTCAAAGGAGCATGAAAATGAGAGACAGCCGTAAATGAGAGCAGAGGCTGGCTGAGAGCTCAGTGCTTTGGACTGATACGGCAAAGCTGCATCCTGCCTGTGGCTGCAATTCCACGACACCTCACATGTCCCAAAGACAAAACGTGGATGAAAGGGGTGACCTGCACTCCGGAGCTCCAGCTGCCGCAATCCAGCCCTGGTTCAATCCATGGGCATCCTTACGGCACCGTCCTCACCCTCCACGTCTCAGCTGCGCGACCAGAGAACGGGGCTGAAATTCCCATTTGTAGCCCTACAGATTGCTCAAATGGGGACACTTTAAACCAAGACCTCTCCCCAAACAYGGCCCAGATCGCCCTACAAGTGTGTCACTTACTAAACACTGTTACACAACAGCTAAAAATCCAGCAGACAAGGCACATCTGGAAGCAGATGAAAAGTATAAATTTTTGACGCGCGCGTGTAATGCAGCGAGCAGAGCCATTTCCGTGGCTCTTTGCGACAGAATGCAGCCTATTAGCATTCTGATAAGGCCCTTTTCAAATTAAAAAATAATCAACCCACACAGATTTCTATCAAAACATAACAACTCTGCTTATATAATGTTCTCATTTAGCTCTTGTTCTCAGAGGACACAAAATATGAAAAACTTGTCTATGTCCACACAATACCACAAACGTTTAGAAAACAGTGAAGTCTTTCATCTACGTACCTCTCACCTGCCTCATCTCTCACATTCTTATCTGACTTAATTGCATTTAAATTAATATCACATTTGCTCCCTCTTTCATTCTAAATCAAAGAAGTGAGACTGTTAACACCTTCAGTACTYGCTTCCAAAGAACTAAATGCAAGTAAGATGTAGTTCACATGGCAGGTATAAAACTTTCCAGTTAGACAAATAGGAAAAAAAAATGGTGAGTAGACAACATGTTCCCACAAGAAAAACAAAATAATAGTAGAGGTAGCTAATGATGATCAGAAACCTGAATTGTATTGAAATAACATCTTCTAATAATCAATTCATTATAAAGTTTTAACTGGATGCACTTCAGCTGTTTTGGGATATTGTGAAAATATCGCTAAATATATTCCAGGCCCATCTATCAGGAACAGATAAATGTAAAGGAAGAAATTCCAAACACAAGATGCAGGAATCTCATCCTGAATTCTCTGATGACTCTAATTCCTATACAGCTCGTATACAACAGCCTCGCTGTGGTATCAATTTCAACTCATAATTGTATTTTAAAGATCTGAGAAAAGCTATTGAACTGCCTCACCCCGTGCTGGCTGGTTGCAGTGAGAACTGTTCTTAGTCCCCAGAGTGGCACAGATTATCCACTTCGGAATTTAACAAAGCCACACGCCCTTTTCCCAGAGCATGGCGGGCAACGACTGGAAATCACCATGAATATCTCTATAATTTGTGCACCACTCTCATATAACCAAGGGGAAACGTCTTCTTCCCAAACCCAAGCGTTTCAACTCAAAACACGCTTGTAATTTCAGGGCCGTCTGTCACTCGTGTCACCCGCAGCCCCCTGCTAAAGGCAAGCTTTCCTCCAAAAGTATAAGGAAGGCAGCGGGCACAAGGAGCAGGGAATCCTCCTTTTCCAAGTTGCTGCAGTACAGCTTTCTTGCGCGTGTCAGCAGGTCTGAACGCTCATTAGTTTTCTCGAATATTTTAAGTGAAACATGGTTCCCTCTTAAAGGCATTCAAGCTTATCCTCACGTAAGTATCATACCAAGGAAGCCAATTCAAGTATCAGATCAAGGAAGTCAATTCATATGTGAAAGATTATTCAAACTAAATTAATATTAAACTAATTTTCTGTTTTCTCGTGAGGATATTCTCTAGCAAGAAAAAAAGAATCCCCTTTACCCATACTCAATATAGACACTATAATGTACAAATGGCCCTCTTTTCCTGATATTTTTCGTTATTCTGTGTTAAATAGCAAATGCACATTTTAGTCTGAGGTTCTCCCTGGGAACTGTGAGTCGGAACATTTTTGCCATGATTTTTGCTGTACGTTCTTGAAATTCCTCATCATCTAACAACATTTTCAAACCTACCTATACTCCGGTGCAGGTAGCAAAGAAATATGATTTCTCAACCACTGTCACTTCTACTCTCTATGTAAAGACATTGTCCATAATATTATCTTTCAAGAATCTTCATTTTTTATTCTTTTCAAAAGGAAGAAAACTAAACTTGAAAAAAATATTACTTAAAAAAGATCTTTAATCCTAAACTTGCCTTAAATATCCAAAATATATTCATTTCTGCTTACTTTTTTTTTAAAAAAAGTATATTTTTAAATATGCAAAATTATATTTGAATTTCAAGGTGAGGGGAGAAGGGAATCAATACAGTAAATTCAAAATGCYGCATACTGTTTTTAGAAAATATGTATTTTTTATGTACATAAGGAATCCAGTAACACTCACATGAATACAGAGAAATAAATTTTTCTTAGGGATGTCAAATGCTGTGCATGACAGGACATAACTATTTCAGAGCCTACAATAATCACACTGAAATCTTTAACAGATGAGACAACTGTGACAGCCTCCAGAGAAAAAATTCAAGACATTGATAAATTAATTGCAAGGAGAAAATCAATTATGAAGACATTAATTCTAACTGATGGAGACATTAGTATGGCTAATAAAGAAAAGGTTTTTTTAMGTAAATGCAAGTTTAAGCAAGTAAATGCACATCACTGACACAATAGCTCCAAGCCTGACATATTCAGAAAATCATGAGAAACCTTTTATGTCTCCTTAATCGAACATGAATGTTGAATTCTTTGACTGCCCACCTTTATTCACAAATACATGTTCAAGGAAGGTAACACAAAGGAGATATACTTATTTATAGCAATTCAACATATTCTATAGGTATTCTAATATTCTTTAAAGGCATTTTTATATGAAATGCAAAAATAAGATAGAAGACATGATTTAAAACTTTGTATTATGAGTTGATTAGATAAAGAAAAGTCTTTCAGAACACCTCCGTCCTAAAAACAAGCAATCTCATTAAGCAAGACTTACTGAGAAAYTAAGTAGACATCTCCACTGCTACTGATGGGAGCCAACCTACATGTTAAAATAACATCTACAGCAGCCTTAACTTCAAGCAACAATCTAAAGTGTCACCAAGAACCAAGTCAGCCTATTTTCAATGGCATCTAAATTCTAGTTAATCAGAAGGGTCAGCATAGATTGCTATATATATTATTATAATATATATACACTTTCAAAGAGAAAAAGCAGAATCAGTTACTCCCTTTTCTGGTAATTCCAAAAGCATGAAAATGCATATATGTAAAATAGCAGCAAAARTTTTGTGTATTTTATGTCAACAGTGAACATAACATATCTAATGAGATCTGGAAAGGCTGAGTAATCCAGTAACAATATCCGGAAAAGTCTCATGGGTGGCTATAATCTTCAGRTAGGCAGCATGTGTCTCAAAGAAATAGCACTTCCTAGCATAACAGCATGATTAAGGTTGGAAAGGACCTTTACAGATCATCTATGCCAACAGTCCAACCAGTCTGCACAAGCAGGGTGAGTTAATGAACCACTAACTAATACTTACTGCTCAATTTCATCCTTGTTTGCTATTTTTTTTTGAGGTTCAGTTTTTTGTATTATTGAGCTGTTCTATTTTCCTCTTAATTTGTTTTTTAATCTCCTCCTAGAATCTTGCTTAGACCTCTTTCTTTTTAATGGCCTCAGCTCCAGAATATGGTATCCTCTTTCCACGATCCTTCCAGCTCCTTTCCAGATTCTTAACATTTTCCCCCCAACCAAATACTCTTCCTCTCAGCATAATAATGACTCAGACCACAATTCTTGTACACCTTGATTAAATCCTTCAAGTTTTACCCACCCCTTATGGGAAGAAGCCAGYTAGGCTCCCCCTCCTGAAGGACAAGGCTCTCAACTACACCTTGTACCTAGTRGAGGGAGGGAGAAGGGCATGAGGGAGGAATGAGAGGAGGCTTGGGCCACAAAAAGTGGGAGTGCAGCAGGGAACATGGACTCCTTGTGAAGGCAGCAAGTAGTTAGTCCTAGCCACCCTCAAAGACCTGTGCCCTCAAAGAAAMAGGGTATCATGTGTATAAGCAAGGCTGCCACAGGCAAGGCAAAGGCTTAAACCCCTACAAAACAGAAACTTCCACAGCTATTCCGGTGTGATGTGCCCCATTAATCCAACCTGCAGCCTAGCGACACAGGGACCCCCTCACAGAGGGGCAAAGCGTCCCTTCACCTGTGCCAAAGGACAGCAATATGCTCTCGGGAACAGTGGCAGTGAAATGTGTCTAGAGCAACCTCTCTTCTATGCCCGCAGCCCAGGATATGATATTTTTCTTCTATCACATAAAAATTTTCTGCCCAGAGGCATTAGGGTAGCTCCTCTGACAGAAACGGTGTGATCTGTACCTCTCCTTGATACTGAGGTGGCTGATCCAGCAGCAGCTGCATTTCACACAGTTTGCAAAGGCCTGTTAGCAACTCTTGAGTTACAAAGATTATGTCTTTCAAAAGAAGTCTCCAGTTCACCAGCTCCACAAGTCATTGKCCTAGGCATCTGCAGCACATATTGCAATCTAAGTTTCCATCTGCAGATTTTAGAAAACACTAATTCCCCCACCAACTGTAAACTTAAAACATTAAGATAACAATCCTATTGCAGTTCTTTTCTTACCTGCATTCCCCTCATTTTCTGAAACCGAGCTACCACATCACTGATGGTGTARACACGAACGTGGCCCATGTGAAGCTTTCCAGAAGGATATGGGAACATAGAAAGCACGTAAAATTTTGGTCTTGATTTCTAGAAAGGAATTTTTATAAAGATATAACCACATGAGTTAGCATTTGATTTGAATATATACACATGCACATTACAATCTGTACAGTACGAGCAGGTGAAACAACGTTCTGACAGTAGTGATCCAAGTGAGCACTGAAAAAGTTCCTAGGATTGAATTATTTGGGGCTATAAATAGSTATCTTTTACCAGCCCTTGCTGCTGTCTTTTCAATTTATACTGATTAAACATGGTTTTAATCAATTTATCCAGCTAATGATACATAAACGGCCTAACAAATCACTACTCCTTCCCAGAGCAGCAGTAACTGACTGTGCACTCTCTGTAATAAGGAAAAATGTGGCAGATTAAAACACCCTCTTCACTAATTAAATGCTTTACTTTGCATTTACTGTGAACGAGGAGCTCACCCATGGCCAGTCGCGTCTGTCAGTTGAACTCTGGTAACTTCCTGAATGACAAAATTAATCACTTGTAATTCCATTAACACCCACCAAAGTGAAACTGTTCAGTTCCACGAGGCACGTTAGATATGCACACAGTATCTGCACTATCTTGCAAGACAGTATCTTGCACAGTGAAAGGAAAACAAACCTCTTCCTTTAGGTCAGTTTAAACAAACTGATGTTTCACTTCTTTTCAATTATCAATGAGTTTATCTTTGATATCTAAGTTCTTTACTTATATTAACAGTGCAAAAAAGGCAGTTTTTGTTATTATGAATCCTGCTCTGTATTCACATTAATAAAAAAAAAAAATTTTGTGCAACAGCAAGTCTTGGAGCAATTGAAATACTTCATTGGATGCTGTGTACTACTTGCATCTCAATCATTACATTTATTTCAATTGTAAGGATAAAAAAARCATCAACATTAAAGAGGTTTTGGAATTAAGCAAATGGTACATGCATGACATATGTATAAATCATGTTGCTGTCAGACATTAAAAAACCACAGGCTTAAACTAATGCTTTCCCTGCTATGTGTGTGCATACACATAATTTTCTCTTTTTTTCCCTTCAGAAAAAGCAAGCCCCCTCTCTTTGACAATTCGATAGAATTTATTTTCTGTCGGACATGGCACATTTGAGGAAAGAAGAAAACCAAACAAGAAGGGGAGGAAAAAGGATTTTATACCTATGTGACTGAGCATAAGTATGAAGGGAAAAGAGTCAGAGACAGAGACTGCAATTGCTTCAAAGTTCTTTATTGTGTGGGAAAAGACTTTTTCTTGCTGTGCCTAAGATGCTGTAAAACAGGAAAAAAATCTTGAAATACTGTCTTTCCTTCACATAGATTTTAGAGAATGACACCAAGTCAAGCATTATGGATTCATTAATAATCACTGGAAACAAGCTGTTTAGAAGTTAATTATTTACAACATTTTTGAATGCAAAAGAAATTTATGTTACTTTAATTAATCTCTCAAGTATAGTATAATATTGGAATAAATAATAATAAATACTTTCTAAATTTACAAGCTGATTCTTTTCTGTTAAGCATGCCTTAAGCATTTTTTTCTTTTTAAGCAYATTTCAATTGTTTTTAATGATCTACAACATAAGAATATTTTTCTCTATAGTATATTATAAAGTTTGACACTTTAAGTCAACTTTATTAAATGTTTTCCAGTGTTATTTCTGCTTGAGAAAACAAACATAGCAAGCATGCAGTTTCCAAATCTCTCACGATGCTTACATCAATTTCGGAAATTTTGCAGAACTCATCCTTTATTCTTGGGTACCACCAATTTTCAACTCTTTTTCGCGTCTCCAACCCGTACTTTTTTTCCCATTTCCCCGTCTCACTGTAGATTGTTCTGATGGGCGCAGGAACCAGCCGTGTCTCCCATTTAATGACTCCCAGGAAACCACTTAGTTGTCTGTTTAAACAYGAGGAACAAGTGCCAACTCTCTGACAAACGGACTGCATTCTTAAGGCTATGATGTGTGTTCTGAAAAAGACAAAAATCATGTAACGTTGATAATAAACATGTTAATAATGRTGTTAATGTTAATAACATGTACACATTACATGTACATGTTAATAATAACATGTAATTGGAATTCAGTTGTTATTATGACTGTATAGCAACTCGGTAGCTATGATGTACATTTTACTTTGGTTTAGATTATGTAGCTGTTTTCCCTACTATTTGTATTCTGTGTTTTAAAAGAATATTTATTTTTTAGTTGAGAGAACTAACTGTAGTCCTTGCATAGGACAACATCAAGTCCATCAGGTCTGTTAAATAACATTTGCATCTGTCAGATTACGTTCAAATTCTCTTGCATTTCTTCTCTGATAAGATGCAATTCTTGCATTCAGTCTCCCCGAATAAGCAATTTAGTCAATTAGAAAGTTCAGGAAATCGGGCTGCCTGAACAGAAGGTGGCAAATASCGTTTTACTAACAATTCAGAATGAAAAGAGTATGAGGCGGAAGTTGAATAAAATTAACTTGTAAAACTTCCAAATCTGTCATGACTGTAAAGAGATGGAGGTGAATGACTATAATTACTGGGTTTCAAATGGTATCAGAGGATATTCTAAACTGGGTATTTTGCTTAGGGCTTCCCTGACAATGTATTTACCTGGAAGAATTACAAGGAGAACTGGTAAGCACATCACTCAGTAACATTTAATAGGCCAAGCAAGATCAATTCAGAAAAGATCCCACTCTTTGCCAAGTAAAAAGTCAGTCAAAAGCATTCTTTTCACGTGTTTGATATTAAGTGTTCTAAAAAAAAGACTACTCCAAGGTAAGAAAATTTACACAAGCCATGCCAGTGCCTCAAATCTTTTGTTGCTAGTCTCTAAAACCTCTCTTAGTTCCAGTCATAATAAGCACAAAATTAAACACAGGCTTCTAAGGGTAGGTRCACAGAATTATGCAGAATAACCTCATTTCTCCTCTTCCACAATCTGAGGATTATTCAATGCAGCCCAGAATAACCAAGGACATAGTGGTGCTTTAAAGTTTTACTTTTTATTACTAGTTTTCTTATTCCTTATTTGTTTTATGGCCGAAACTGCTCACTCCTTCTGCACGCTGGGCCCCTTGGGGCAAAGCAGCAACGCCAAAGCAAAGCAGGCACGCGAGAGAGGCAGCAAGGGGCTGGAGAAACGGGGGAGACCCCGACCGCGACTGAGCCCCTGCTTTGCCAGGAGATAGTGAAAACACATGAGGAAGAGAAGGCCGCTCCTCATGACCGGTTTATCATGAGCAGGACGAGCTCGAGAGAGGACACCGAGCAGAGACGTAACAGCGAGCTACTGAGGGGGCCGCAGCTGCGGGCTCTGGGGGCTGGGCGGGCGGCGGTTGGAGCCGTTGGAGCCGTTGGGCCGAGGCCGTTACCTGCGCGCGGGAAGCCGCTCCCGCGCCGCACGCGCCCTCAGCTCCCGCGCCACTCCCTGGGCGCCGCCATGTTGGGCTCCTCCCCGCGCCTGCCCCGCCTGCCGCGCACGCGCAGTGGGCGGGGGCGGTGCGCGGCGGGAGGGCGCCCCGCGGCGGCCGTTGAGGGGGTTGGGGGGAAATGGCGGCTCCCCGTCCCGCTGAGGCGTAGGGAGAGCTTCTCCCGCGTTATGTGCCATAGGGGACGAGGGAGCCAAAGCGGAGCCTTTCCTCGTGCATTCAGCTCAGGCTGGAAGGGAAATCTCTGCACGGGGTTGTCAATCTGGCTGAATTCTCCTTTTTAAACCCCGGGCCTTGAAGTGCGCAGAGCAGGAGAAAGCCCTAGTCTTGAGAAACATGTTTTGCAAGTGGTGTCCAGGTGACAGCAAAAAAGCACGTGCTTAAATAAAGATCCCCCTTGTACCTTCATTTAAAATGCTCACAGAAATACGGAGCAAACCTTGAAATTCTAAAGAGTGCTCAAAAACCACTACCAAAACAAAAAACAAAAAGAGCGCAGCTGCTGCCATTTCAATGATCAGCTTTAAATATCAATGTACACTTAAGAGCAACTCGTTCACATCTTTGACAGAATATGTACATGGCGTTTATGTGATAGGAGAGCTTTACAAAACCGCAGTATTGCGCCTGGACACAGTGTCCTGCTCACGGTAAAGTCCTTAGCTCCCATCCTAGAGGCGTTTCGCTCATCCCATCCCATCCCATCCCATCCCATCCCATCCCATCCCATCCCATCCCATCCCATCCCATCCCATCCCAGAGGCGTTTCGCTAGGGATGAGCGGCACAAAGGCGAGTCAGTCACCAGTGTAACGCCTGGAGATCCTGCCCTGAGCTGGGCGAGACCATTTTCGTGTTTGTATTCAAGTTGTTAAAAATGCAATGCTAGGAAACGAGCGGCAAAGCGAATGAATAAATGACGAGGGATTGAATCTCTGTGTACGTTGCACAGCGCTTGATTAGTTTTGATCACCTTCACAGCATGCGCAAATAGGCCATGAAGGGACTTCATTTTGGTAGCATTTTGCCTCAAGTACTTTTATTGCTTCCCTCCTGCAAATCTTTTTATTTATTTATTTATTTTTAAATTAGAGGCAGGTTCAGAAATAAAGCCAATAGTTGTTTTGTTAATTCCTTTTTGACTAACGAGGAGAAAAAAAAAGTCAATAAAGACAATCTAGAGCAGCATAATTAATTCTACCTCTGGCTGGAAAACAGCATCTTACCCAGTTGTCAACAGTTCAGAGTTGGTTTTAATTACTGCAAGCTGTTTGTAGTAGCCTCCACGGAACAGATTCTTTTTTCCTGTTGCTTGTGCCCTTTTGCTGCTGGCAACCATTGATTCTTTTTTTAATCTTTACCATTGTGTTTCCAGGAGACCATATGCAACGCAGTGCCTACGGTGGGGTGAACCTTTTTGTGCTGCAAAGACAGGGCCTGACAATATGACTAAAAATAATAGTTTATGCAATATAAGCTTTCCACTTGGTTGTGTATACTTGTCAGATACACTTAACTTAAAACCTTTTGGTTGCAAAAAAAAAAAAAAAAAAGAATTAGGGGAGGTTCAGACACTAAATGCTGCTTATAATCTATAACTGCAGTTTCATCAAGGCTATGAGTATATGTGTGTAACACTTCATAACTGGAAATGACATGATAGGGCAGCGTGAGCAAGGCTGGAAAAGTAGGAGAGAATTATTTGGTTTCAAAATTGTTTGGAAAATCCTGATCTCTGCCTCAAATTTTAGGCTACGTATATAGGTGTTTTTAAAAAATCTTTTCAATCTCTGTACTGTTGAAATATTTAACCCTAACACACTATTTCCCAGGGATTGCTGTCAAAGAAAGATTAAAGCTGATTGAGCAGAGACCTTTGTCTTACCTTTTTAATCTGTTCATTTCACTAAAATATTGCTTTCCCTTCCTGACAATCTACTTAGGTGTTCCAATTGCCTGAAGCCAAGGGCAATCCGTTTAGAATAAAACCACATTAATCAGCAACACTGAATGTCCCTAAGGAAGCCAGATGGATGCCATACACTGACACAGAGAGGCCAAACCTTGGGAGCACCCAGAGCTTGGTGGAGCCTCCTGGACTTCTCTGTTCACCGAATTAAGCAACAACCCAAGCTGGGCTTGGATCAGGTGTGATGCAGAGAGAGCCCCTGGTAACTGCTGGAGCAGCTCTGGCTACAACGAGTGCTGCCAGAGGGGCTTATAGAGGAGTAGATGTTCCCAAAGAACCACAAGGTTCAGCCAAATCTCAGCTATATTCGCCACGTGGTAGCCAGCTATTTCCAAAACATAACCCAGAGAAAAAAATAAAAAATTAAAAAAAATGAGGCCCCTTGTTTTTCATTACTTCTTACTTTCTTTCAGGAGAGTTTGGTGCTGTGATTCTCATTAGCTGTTAATAAAAAGAAGCCAAACACATTCATCACAGGTTTGCAGTGCTTGAAGATGTTGACAGAAGATGGCTTCTGTCAACGCCAGATACTCCCGTGAACTTGCTCTGAAAATATATTGGCCTCTTCATTAGGGTCACTTTTCTCATTGATTTGACTGAAGCTTATTCTGCTGGTTTGGGATTCTGGTGGAATAACAGATGAAGCTGAGCAAGATGCAAAGTCACCTGTGAACAGAAATTAAAAGTAAGTGAGAAAACCCAAGACCAACCAGAAAGAGACACAGAAAGAAGGAAAGAGCGATGGTATTTTTCAGTGCCCTGCTCAGTGCTGTGATAATGCATGAAGATGAAAATAAYATGCAGGTTTACGCTGCCTTTTGCTCTTGGGGCTTGTTCTATAGCACGTTCATGCTAAGACTAGTAGTGCGTTGCCCATCTGTTGAGCACTTTAATTGCTTGGTATTGCCATTTAAAATCTTCCTGCCAAGATGCATTGTCAGCAACGTGTCTGAGAAATAACAGCAGATATCAGCACATGGTCCCAAGTGAAATGCCAAAAGGTCTCCTCCAAGATCTGATCCTAACTTTTTCTGTGGTCTTGCCCAAATCTATTAACTCGTGTGCTGGATTTTCCCCACCCAGCAGCAGGGGAAAATAAAGCAGGGCAAAAATCTGTGCCCCGTGCCCTGTGTGTGCTGACGGATGGAAGGCTGGCTAAGTTATGAAAGGAACATAGTTCATCTGCTATATGGCAAACAGAATAAAAATCACGTTACATAATGAAGGGCAATTACGGTTTCTTAAGTGAAAGGGAACTTGGATATCACTGGTTGCTTAGAGGCCCGCACACTCCCGCTTTGTTCTTTAATTTCTGTGTAAATTAGTTGAATAAATTAAGTAGTGGAGCTTATACCAATTTTATTGCTATGTTCAAGAACATCCAGGTGTCCTAGGGACTCAAGCCAGAATGAACTATAAGCTCTTCACATAGTGGAGTATATTGTAAAAATACAAAAATGTCTCAGGTTTTCCCAAATAGGGAGCCCATCTTGCTCTTCCATTACTCCCCCCTTTCCCACATTGCTGTTTTCTTTTTTTTTTTTTTTTCTTGTTAGCATGGGCTGTTAACAAATTAAAGATATAAGGACTGTGCTATTTGTCGTAACACTAACCAGGCCAATATTCTCCTGTTTCCTTTTTTTCTCTGGAGTAACAAAGCCTTTGCACTAATTGTTATTTTTCCCGCATTTTGTTAATCAACGGACGGCTTGGCAGTAATTCCGCAGTTAGAGAAGTCACTGGTTCCTCTGTGAGGAGCCTGYGGAAGCGCCCCAGCTGCCTGTCCCTTCGGCAGAGCCGCTTCCAGCATTGCGGGATGGGGGATGCTGCCTCTGCTGACGGTTACCAGAGATGGTGCTTGGGTTTCCTGGGTTTGCTCCTGTAGCAAAACCATGAGAGATAAAAAAGCAGCATTTGGAACACAAAATATTTTTTACTGCCTGCATACTTTAAATCCCAGCCCCTTTTAATGTAACTAAAGAGTTTGCCTTTTTGTTTTTCCCCCCATTAAACTCTTTCGGAGTAGCATTTGCTTCTGAGTTTTATTTTACCATGCACACTTGCTTAGTGGTTTTGCTTCAAAACACAAGTTCAAAGAAAAATGCAGGTGATGGAATTGCAGTGATGCAAAGAGTAGCATTTGCAAATATAACAAAGAGCAAGAAATTAATAGGCTAAATAAAAAATAAAAGCAAAAGAATTAAAACAAAACTCTCACAGTCCTATTCTCCAGCTAAGTCTAGATCTCAAAAGAAGGAATGTTGACTGACTTTATGAAGACGAGTTAAGAGCTTCATATTTGCAATAGATTTTATCTACAAAGCACTGAAATATTACAGTAATGTAAGAACAAAATCTTGAAACAGATGTAAGTAAAAGTTGTATTTTTGGAATAGAAGCAGGGGGAGCTCTGCAAGAGCCACCACGTGACTAGGCGGGGAGCTAGGTGTGCTCCTCAAGAGGCTTCTTTGGCCTCAGCAGAAAACCAGCTGCGAGGACCGAGGAGGTTCTTGTTTCCAAAGCACTTAAATTAACACAGATTTGCCATCCCTGTGTTTTGTACAATGAAGGAAGACTTGCACAAAGAGCAAATGGAAGAAGAGAGCGGCTGAGTAAGAAGGAAATACCACCCTGCCCGGCGTAAGCCCAGGTTAGCTGACCAGAATGGTCCCATCTGATGGGGAATCCACACACTGAACACCCTTGTTCCAGGCACGGGGTCAGAGCAGTATCCATGACGGTTACGGTTTCTTAGGGATTCAGGCTACAATCTGCATGGTGCCGTGGGTGGGGAGAAGGTGGCGAGATCCATGCGTGTGCGCCGCTTTGCAAGCCGCTGGTGCAGTTCTCAAGCAAAGCAGCACATGCGCTTTTTCACCTGTTTTTTTTACTRCCTCACCAGCACAGTTCTGCTGTGGTTCAGAGCTAGCTATGGACACTGGCAAGCCAAATCACTGTAGCACTCGAAGCTCTGTATGCTTTCGTTAATCTGGAAAAAAAAAAAAAAAGGTTTTAGGGATCATTTAAA